TGGGAGGCAGCTGAGGTCCAGGCCAGGGCAGCACCAGGGGATGGAGGTGGCCGTGTAGGTCCCTCCGTGGAGCTGCGGCTCTTTGGGGAGCTTAGGCAACGCGGCTGCCTTCCCGCCCCGGCTCCTGGGCTACTGCCTCGAGGCTCCATCGGGGCTGGGGGCCACGCTGCTCGCTGCCCTGTGCCCACCCGCTGTGGAGCCTGGGAGGGGCACAGCTCCGGGCAGCCTGCCCCGCCCTTGCCCGGGGAGCCTCGGGGTGCCAGTGGACTCAGAGCCACTGGCTGCCCCCGAAAGGGCTCGTACCTGGGGGTGCAGGGACAGGCTGGGGCCGCCCGCCTGAGGGGCTCCCACCTTAGGACCGGGCTTCGGAGAAGCCGAAGCCCCTCCCAAGCCGCCCACTCCTTAGGGGCGCACAGCCTGTGCAGGGGGGTGTGTCCTAGGACCGCCACTCCTAACACCCTGGACCCTAAGGAACTTGGTCTGGCCTCCAGGCGGCTTCGCCTGCTCTCTCTCGCTCCCCTGGATGCGGGGGGGGGGGGGGGCCCTGAAGGCACCCTGAGGCTTTGACTTTTCTGAGGCTGTTGGGGTGCCCAGTGCAGGCTGGAGTTGGGGGACTGGGTGAGTCAGGAGAACGGGCCCCCGAGAGTCATGCTGGTCATCGGATCCTTGGCCTGAGCTCTGCTCAGCGACAGCCCTGGAGGGGGCCGGCCGCGGGACCCCGAGACTTGGTCCTCTGGGATGCTCGGGCTGCCGAGCCGTGGGGTGGGGCTGTCTGCCATCTTGGCTGGCGCTGGGAGACCCAGGAGTGGCCGCTGCCTGGTGCTGGCCCCGCCCTCATGACATCATAGGATGGAGGCCAGGTCCCGCGTCCAGCACTGGCCCCTGCGGCTCTGGGCATGGCCGAGCCCCTGCAGCAGTGACAATGGGGACCCCCCTCCCCACGGGAAACCCTGACCAGCACTTGCTGCCAATCACAGGCGCCTCCCAGAGTGGCCGTCTCCGTCCCGTTAGAGCCACCGGCTCGGGAGAAAGCCCTGCTGTAAAGTGAACTTTCTGGGTGTGAGACCCGCCTGGCGGGCGCGGCTCAGCCTCCTCTCTCCCGCAGATACCATGGCGCTTCCAGTGGGGAAGTCGATGCTGGTGCTGCTAACCTTCTTGGCCTTCGCCTCGTGCTGCTATGCTGCTTACCGCCCCAGTGAGACCCTGTGCGGCGGGGAGCTGGTGGACACCCTCCAGTTCGTCTGTGGGGACCGCGGCTTCTA